TCATGGCCATGTAGGAGACATTGGGTTTGGGGTTCACACCGCCTGTATACTACAAAGGAGGGCAGTTGTTATATCAAGGTGAATTATTACCCATAGTGCCAATACTTTCCTAGTGGTCGTAAGTAACGTAGGTTGTCACCTGCTTAAGCATCTGCACTGGGTAGCTTTTGCCCCCCGTTGAGTGTCTCCAACCAGGCCATGATCTAGTATTTCTGAATAATAGATAATGTTAGACTAGAACATAACAACTAGAACTATTTCAGTCAGGACTCACCGACTTACTCCACTCCGCCCCTCCGAACACGTCCTGCATACTGTTCCGAAGTTAGATCGTTTTAATAATGCAATGGGGACTCTTGTTCCAGTGCCAACTGTATAAGTGGGGAGTTGCTTCTCGGCCTTTTGGCTAAGATCAAGTGTAGTATCTGTTCTTATCAGTTGCCGGAGGAAGAACGACGCTGTCCTTTTCAAGGGAGAAGGATGGTGGCTTAGTATTCGCCGGTGTAATTGGTGGGTGCCGGATAGGGTACAGTCCCTCCTGGTTAGATTCTGGTCTGGTGATGCTGGACTTGTCCCCGGTGGTAGGGATGGATCACGGATGGCACTACCTTCTGATGGGAGCAGGTGCTTGCTTGGTCTGGCTGGAGGGTTGGGGGGCGGCAGAGCCCGTGGTGCTGTGCCCCCTGGGGGTGGCATCCCAGGGGTGCTCAGAAAGTCACTAGGGTGTGGGACCCCACTGTGACTCGCTGTGCACATGGACATGGCACTATTGCATTTCCCTGCACAGCGCCTCTTGGACAGGCCCTATGGCTAGTCCGGGGCAATATTTTTGCACTCCGGCCCCTAAGGCCTGTCAGCGTGGTGCACTGGCACTTTAGATTTATTTATTGCATTTAATGCACGATGCACATTTGGCTTTTTTGCAATTGACCCACAGAGACTGAGGGTGAAGGTACCTTCTTTTCCCGACTTTGGGGAGGAGATTATGTGCCCTTATATAGGGTTCTCTGTCTCCTCACGCCTCTGCGGGTTTCTCTTTGGGAGATCCCCCAACCTAGTACTTGTGGGACCTGTTTCGGCAGGTCCCGAAGGATCGGGGTCCACCGGCCTTCGGGTTGGTGGACCATAGTCGTCTCAACCCCTGTCAGGAGCCTTGCGAGGTTATTTGACGTTTTTCTTTTTTTGTTCACAGGGGTTTGTTTTTGATGCACGTTCCACGGGCTAAAAAAAAAAAAAAACCTGTATAAGTGGGGAGTTCCTTCACTTTGAAGAGTTTTCCTTTCACTTTGTGCTGTGTCTACAAGACAGGAAATGAAGGGAAATCTTTACAATGGGATACAGATGGGTGGAAACCTGACACCTGTTTCAACTGTTCCGCACTATATCCAAAATGAACAAAAAAAAAAATGTATGTTGATGGAAAAAAATATGAGGTGTACATAAATGTAGACACCTTGTCACAGTTCCCATATTTGTTGAACATGCTTGGGTCAAACATAGATCTATACAAAAAACAAATGAAAGAATGAGCAGACTTGATGGACCGCTTGGCCTTTTTCTTCCGTTTCTATGCAACAATGCCCCGTTACGCCTGGCGATTAGAGTCTCTCATTATCTCAGATCTGTTTGGAGCAGGAATGGTGTGGTCAGTGTTCCAGGAACCTTGACCAGGAACCTGTTATTCAGCTTTGTGGTCTTATAAAAGACTTCTGTATCCTACAGTATGATGCCAGACCATTGCAACCCACCAACTACAGCACACCGTCGACTTCATATCGTGTCATCATGCAGAGACTCCTCTCCCTTCTTCTGCTGCTCTTCCAGGAAGGTGAGTGATTGGCAACCAGCACAGATCTGTCACCCATCTCCATTGTGCAGGGACACCTTATATCCTTCTTATAGGATATGCTTCTTATTGCTTTAATATTGTATACAGCTCAGTATAAAGTAACAGGTCTATTCACAAAAGGGTGAAGGGTTTGGAGAAAGAAGGAGAAGAGAACAATCTAGGACAACATCGCTGATTTAGGAAAAATTTTCAAATTCAGCTCACTTTCCAGTTCAGTTATGTTGTCCTAGATTGTTCACTTCTCCAAACTCTTCACCCTTTTGTAAATAACCCTGTAAAACTTGACGTCACTGTATACTGTGTCCCTTTATACTGTATTTTCAGCTTGGTAATAGTATTATTGGGTATTGCTTTCAATTATCTTTAATGTTAAACTTGAGATAGAGTTTTTTTATTTTTAAAAAGAAAACGGTTTCCCATTTCTCCTAACATTTGTTTTAGTGTACATTGCCTATGGCACTATGCATTCCAAACCCTTCTGTAAGATGCCAAGAATGGAGGCAGGTGCTGAGTTAAGTGGCTGATCAATGGCTAAAGAGGCAGAGAAGATGTCATGTCAGTATGATGATATACATACAGTACACAGAGCTAAGGTGACACAGGAAATACAGTAGATCTGAGCAACCAGATGTCGCCATTCATGATTCTAGAACAGTCAGTAACATAAAACATGTATATTGGAATGACTATTATAGGTAATCACACGTCACACATAATGCATTGTCTTATCCATTGTAGCTAATTGTGGTTTAAATAACTGATAATATGATTAAACTATGTCTCTCTCTCTCCATTCCCTTCTCTTCTCTTCTTTCTTTCTGTTCTTGGGTCTTCCTTTTTCTTTTCTTCTCTTCCCTTCTCTTCTCGGCTCTTCCTTTCCTGCCATTCTCTTCCCTTTCCTTCTCTTCTCTTCCTTCATTTCTCTTCCCTTCCCTCCCCTTCTCTAATCTTCTCTTCCCTTCTTTTCTCTGCTCTTCCTTTCCTGCCATTCTCTTCCCTTTCCTTCTCTTCTCTTCCTTAATTTCTCTTCCCTTCTCTTCTCTGCTCTTCTCTTTCCTTCTCTTCTCTTCGTTCCTTTCTCTTCCCTTTCTCTTCCCTTTCTCTTCCCTTTCTCTTCTCTTCCTTTCCTGCCATTCTCTTCCCTTTCCTTCTCTTCTCTTCCTTCATTTATCTTCCCTTCTCTTCTCTTTCCTTCTCTTCTCTTCGTTCCTTTCTCTTCCCTTTCTCTTCCCTTTCTCTTCTCTTCTCTTCTCTTCTCTTCCTTCCTTCCTTCCTATTCCCTCCCCTTCCCTTCTCTTCTCTGCTCTTCCTTTCCCGCCTTTCTCTTCCCTTCCCTTCCCTCCCCTTCTCTTCCCTTTCCTTCTCTTCTCTTCCTTCTGTTCTCTTCCCTTCTCTTCTCTTCTCTTCCCTTCCCCTCTCTTCCCTTCTCTTCACATCTATTCACTTTCCTTCTCTCCTCTACGCCCTTCTCTCTCTCTATTTATTTATCTCTCTCCCTTCTCTCCCTTTCTTCCATTTTACCTCTATACATTTGTTTCTCTCTTCCTCTCCGTTTTCCCCTTCTCTCCAAATCTCCCTTTTGCTCTCCCAGGATTCCCAGAGATTCTGACCCAGTCAGGTAAGCCAGGCTATGTTACATACTTATGCATACATGGACATTGAGTGAAGGGGAATATACAGGTTTAATCAGATGGGACAATCTATTCTAAGTCTGTTTTATCTGGCAGTGGTGGCGCAGAAAGACATTGGATTCCTGAACTAACCGCATGAGTTGCAATGCCATATGTGTGCTAGAGTCACACAGAGCACATCATATTACAGCTTCCACCTAGAAGCCAATATTGATCATAGTAAGACACCAGCACCATAGAGAACTAGGGGGGAACGTATATAAAACAAATCCATATGGGTAACAGTCTCCTGGGTAAAGAAAAAATGACATTTACAAACATTAGTTATTCCGAACAGGAAAAGGCGATAACTCCTGAATATTCAGTTCTATTGCTGTCTGTGTCCTTGCTGGGTAGATTTACCCTCTCAATATGTCCTGATGACCAGAGCTGTCCCTATTTATGAGGCAGCCTGAGGCTGTTGCCTCAGGCAGCATCTCTTTGCATCATGTGGGGCAACACAATGTTTGCGCCATCCCCTTTATGGCCAGAGCATCACAGAATGCTAAGAGTCGGGCAGGGAGATGTGTAAGGGCCATTCACATTTTTTCCACCCATCTCTTAGCAACTGGGAAGCTCTGGTCGGCATCCCACTCAGCCCCTGGCAACCAGTGACATCACTGGTTGCCAGGAGCTGGACTGGATGCCGTCCATAGTTGGAGCCAAAGGTGGGTTGTGAGATGATTCAGAGGCCATACCACTTCCCCTCACACCCCCGCACCCCACAAAGAGGCTCAAGTGGTAACTTTATCTTCCAAGGCAGGACAGTATGGAAGGGGTCATGTGTGTATTTCCCACTTGACCAACCATTCTCCAACTCTCTTGTGAGGGGCAGTTGCATCTTGTTTCCTCTAGACCAGAACAGGACATCACTCGCAACCATCATCTTCAGGGTTTCCTTCCACATGGGAGATTGCTGCAGCACTCCAATCTCTGAGCTCAAAGGCCTTAGAAAAGGACAGTTCTCACAGTGGCATCCTCACTAGACAGAAGCCCAGAAGGGAAGACCAAGGGCCAAGAAGTGCCTAAAATGGTGCATACTTTCCCAACTTGCTCACCATTCCTCCAAGCTTGCTGATTGGCTGAGTTACTAAATATCCATAACACAGAATGCCACCTCTAGTATACCCGGCTGTAGCCATCTCAGACAGAAAGTGACTGAGATGGAACACTCCGTGCTTGGAGAACACTAACATACTGTACACACAAGCTGAATATAGCTCTCATACAGTTGTCACCCGAACAGGAATTAAGGGGAAAATCTTTGAAGAGATTTCTTCTTACTTCATGCTGTGACTCTGGGGAAAGAAATGGAGGAAAATCTCTCCAACTGGATACAGACAGGAACAAAAAAAAACTTCCAAAGGTTTAGATGATTTCTTAACATACTCTTTAGGTTTTAGTGTGGCTTTTGATTTTACATATATTGGGACGGATATGGAAATCTAATGAGCATCTGATTCTCTCCTGTGATTGAACAGCCTGCGGTAGACCTATGATGAACGGGCGCATTGTGGGTGGAAATGACGCACAGTCAGGTGATTGGCCATGGCAGGTCAGCCTACAGATCAATGGATTCCCGTTGTGTGGTGGGTCCCTCATCAGCGAGTCCTGGGTTCTGACATCCGCACACTGCTTTCACAGGTAAGGAAATAAATCATCCATGGCTACAACTGTAGCTGTCTACTCATGAGGGTAAGGGGATATCAATGGGAGGGGGGAGGGGGTAGCAGGGGTATCTGGCTGGGGCACAGAGAGGACTAAAATAAGACCATAAATAGAAAATGGCTTTGAGAACTGCGCACCAGATGGTTCAAGTGAATTGTGATTTCTACAATGAAAACATTTCTGACAGTAATGGTAATTCCATGGGAAATACTGCATGCAGAACTGAAATAGACTGAGGAAATGAATGTGAATGTATTCAATATTGCAATATGGGGATGTAACAGTGTATTTTTTTTAAGTGAGGGCGAGTGTTACTATAAATCTGTAATACGAAATCACCGGCACTCCATACAGCGTACAGACCTCAATGGAAGGTTGGTGCTTGAAGTGACAACACGGATGGCGCCGTGTCAGATACAATCCACAATAGAAATCACCAGCACTCGATGATGTGCGCAAGAAGTAAAGCACTTTTTATTAAAGGAGAACTATGAGGGGGGGAGGGGCTTTTCACTCACCTCATAGTTCTAGCCGACCTGTGACAATGAGACTGATACAGGTCGGCTAAGTAGATCGGGAGGTGAGCGAACAAATACCGGCGTTCACTCACTTCTCGATCCTGTCACGTCTCTCTGCCGTCACAAGGTAGGGGCTGGATCTCCCCCGCTCCGATCCGCCAGCGGTGACTGGCGGAACGGACGGGGGAGGGAGTGGGTACAGCTGGCTCTGCCTCTAGATAGGCAGAGCCAGCTGTAGGTCATGCAGCTGGGCGGATCCCGGCACAATTATCGGGATCCGCTTCAGCTGCGGTGTCTTAGTATACCGTGAGCAGCAGCTATTGATACATATATAATACTCATTTAAAACATGCGTGATGCGGGTGACTCAAAAGTACTGATGTAGCCAGCAATGGTAGCCCTCATACTCTGTACTTTTTGAGGCGCTTGTCATGAGATGCACGTAACACGGTGAGCTGATTTCAACTGGTATTTATTTCAGAGCTTAAAGGAGAACTATGGGGTCAGTGTTTTTCCCCATAGTTCTCCTTAGGGTAACGGGAGGACACAAACTAGCATCCTCCCGTTACCCTAAGCTCAGTATATAGGGAGCTACAGCTACAGCTCGCGGTATACTGAGTCTAGGGTGACAGGAGGACACTAGTTTGTGTCCTCCCGTTACCCTAAGGAGAACTATGGGGAAAAGCCTTAACCCCATAGTTCTCCTTTAAACGGTCACATGCGTCATACAGCCAACGTTTCGGGGGCCACACAGGGTCCCTTTTTCTGAGTGACATAGGGATCACTGATATAGTGATCACTATGTTGTTTCGGGGCCACACAGGGTCCCTTCTTCTGGGCGATATTGGCTGTATGGCGCATGTGACCGTTTAATACTTGTTACTATAAATCTTGGTGCAAAATGATCCACTTGCACCTCCAATAGGGAAGTCTAACCTCTTAGGCCGACCAAAATGCTATCATGTGAATTCAAAATTGAACTATTTCTCACTTTCAATATGAGAACACCTTAGACATGCTCATGAACATACACCATATGGACAAGCGTTTGTGAAGACATGATCGTATAGGACTAAAACATATGTGGACCCCCTTCCAAATGACAGAGTACCAATGACGGGTCATATTAACGCTATAGCATACAAAGACATTGTAGACAATTGTGCTCTTCCAGCCTTGTGGTAAGAGTTTGGTGAAGACCCTTTTCTGTTCCACCATGACTGTCCCCTGTGTACAAAGGCTCCTTCATAAAGACATGGTGTGACCAGCTTGGTGTGGAGGAACTCGAGTGCCTTGACCTCAACCCTACCGAACACCTTTGTGATAAATATGGAATGCCGGTGTCGGTCAGGTCTTCTCATCTAAACACTAGTATTTGACCTCACAATTTTTTTTTTTACCTGAATGGACACAAAATCCTACAAACCCATTCCAAAATCTTGTGGAAAACCTCCATAGAAGAATGGAGGCTGTTATAGCTGAAAGAGAAAGGGTGGAAGGGGCAACTCTGTATTAATGACCATGGTTTTGGAATATCCAACAAGCTCATATTGAGTTTGATGATCAGTTGTCCACAAACCTTGGTCATATAGGGAATTAGTGTAATGATCTTTCTGACCACTAGAGGATGAACTAAGCACGTCACTCATTCTTTGTTCTACCTCTTGTGTTGTACTGTCAGCCACAGATAGCAGCAGGTTAGTCAAAGTGAATGTGACACTTCTTGTTGGGTTACAACTCATTTAGTCAGTGAACGTGAGGTGTCATCTACATTTTTACTACCTCTTGCGTAGACAACAACTTTGTTTTTTCTTTGTGTCATCTTCTGTTTTGTACAGTGACATCTGATGAATATATATATATACACTGAGTGGCCAGATTATTATGACCACCCCATCAGTACTTCGTTGGACCGCCTCGTAACTCCACGAGATGGTGAAAGGTGATGTGAGGAATCTGGCACGGCGCTGTTGCCCTTCTGTTGTCTTGTACCAGTCTTGCCCCTCCCCCGTTCTGCCCTAACATTGGCTAGTCGCTGACGGCCACAATTCGCACGCTCAGACCCAGATTTTCGGCTGACAGTCCGGTCTTTAAACACTTTAACAATGAGCCGCTCTTGAACATTTAATGAATTCTGCTGTTTTGCTGATACTCGCTCCATGGCTCCGAGCGCCAACAATCATCCCGCGTTCAAAGGCTGTTACATCGCGTTGTTTCCCCGTATCTTCAGAAACAAATCACTTCTACTGTCGTGGTAACCAACCCGCTTCCCTATTTATAATGGTCTGGCCCTCTAGCAACTTCAGCGCCAAATTATAGCTAATTTGCCTACAAACGTCAGGTGGTCATAATAATCTGGCCACTCGGTGTATATATAAATCCGGCCACTCGGTGTATATAATAATCCGGCCACTCGGTGTATATAATAATCCGCCCACTCAGTGTATATAATAATCTGGCCACTCGGTGTATATAATAATCCGGCCACTCAGTGTATATAATAATCCGGCCACTCGGTGTATATATATAAAACAATAAATGTCCCCCCATGCATGTTAAGCAATTCATTAAAACCTCAGAATTTCCTGCACAATTGGTTTTGACCCATTCTATTGTGTACTAACTCTTCTCTCACAGTCCTCTGAATGCCTCAAAGTACACCGTCTACCTTGGGCTGTACCAACTCTCCAACCTTCAGGGTGACAGCGTAGTGACCAGAGCTGTGCACAACATCATCTTACACCCTGATTATACCCCAGATGGATCTGGAAGGGACATCGCGCTGGTGGAACTAGAAAAACCAGTAGAATTTACACCCTTCATCCTTCCCGTCTGCCTCCCATCTCAGAAGCTCCAACTCCCAGAGGGGACCCTCTGCTGGGCAACTGGTTGGGGAAACATTCAGGAGAAAAATAAATGTAATATGAGAAAAAAAAACCTTCAATAAAAGAAAGATTTGGTAGGAAATGTAAAATTTGCAAAATAGAAATGTACAAAAATATTATCATTATTATGATATAAAAATGTTCACAGGTCGTGGTCATTGTTTAAAGGATTAATATCGTTTGAAGGTATCTAGACCGGCATTTCTCAACCTTTTTTCAGTCACGGCCCCCCTTTTAAAGTATGCAAAACTTTGAGGTGCCCACTACTAACATGTCATGGATTTTAAGGGGGGACTCATCTCAAACACATAAACAATGGGGTTCCCCACTTAAATTCAGGAGCTCCCTTTTCACATCAGAATCCCATCTATACATCGGGAGCTCCGCTAACATTAGAAGCCCCCTTCACATCAGAGTCCCCCTTTATATCAGAGTCCTTCTTTCACATCAGAGTTCCCCTTCACATCGGAGTCCTACCATCACCCCTCAGGGGCGTAACTAGAAATCACAGGGCCCCATAGCAAAATTTTGTAAGGGGCCCTGTGATTTCTAGTTATGCCATTGCAGAGCCCACCTGATATCCCAAACAGCCCACCTGAGAGTAACCCTGCAGAGCCCACCATAGACTATCTATGGTGGGCTCTGCAGGGTCTAAGGTGGGCTGGTCACACCCCTGTACACCTCTTACCTGTCAGCCCCGATCCGCTGCTGTCCGCCTCCTCCTCCTCCACGGTTGCTGGCAGGCCCCACCTCATCCGTTGCAAGGCCCCACCTCCTCTTCCGTCACTGGGCCCAACCTCCTATTCCATCATCGGGCCCGCCTCCTCCGCTGCTGACGCCCAGCCTCCTCTGCAGCAGCTGCTGGCTGTCAGAGACTCAGCAGCGGCTGTGAGGAAGAACGCGCCTCTGCACAGGTCACTGACAGGTTGTCGGTGATCTAACAGCGGCGCGTTCCTCCTCACACCCGCCAATGACAGCCAGCAGCCTGTGATGCCATAGCGACCCAGGTGGCCCGCACTGCACCAGGGAAATGTCCTGGTTGGGCCTCCTTGTGCCCCGGGCCCCATAGCAGCCACCAGGGTCGCTATGGCGATTGTTAGGCCACTGTCACCCCTGAAGAAGACAGAAGGCACCCTGGTTGAGAAAGGCTGATCTGGACTGACCTGTTCCTGAATGTCTATGACTTTCTCTCTTTTACTTTGTATCCCATACTTCTTTGTGACATTTCGATTTGAATACAGTTTGAAACCAGCTCTAAATTGATGATTAAAGTGCGTCTGAACCCAAGAACATAAATTCAATGGAATGCAGGTTCAACCGATATAACAAAACATTATTTATTCATTTATTTTAAAAAATGAGCTTTAGCAGATTTATTCTTCTTATATATTATTATATCTTACGTTTTGGTTCATTTGTTTTAAAGGGAATTCTTCTTGTGTCTCCTTAATATTCACTTTGTACTTGTATAATGCCAAACCAGCTGTTGAATGAGTCTCAGATGTTATCGTTCCATATTTTTCCAAAAACATTTCTTATTCCGGCCCGTAGTCAGTAGATGGCGCCATTTTTTTTATTTGCGAGCTATTTTACATATTTTGGTTCTGAAGGACAGATGTAATAGTACTTCCTGCTCTTTGTTCTGCGCAGTTCCACTTCCATCCCCTCAAACCCTACAGGAAATGGAGGTGCCTCTGATCAACATTGAGAGCTGTGAGTCTATGTATCGGTCTGTGTATGGCTACAAGCCCGGTGTTCATCTGATCCAGGAAGACATGATCTGTGCTGGCTACAAGGAGGGCAAGAAAGATGCCTGCAAGGTAAGTGAAATATTAACCTGCTAACAGGCCGCAATAAAAACCTGACAGCGGATCTAATTCTAAACAAAGAAAAGCTTAAGCTCCGACACGTCAAAGCTGACCTCCGTCCTTCCCTTCAGTCTTCTATCTGACCTCCGTCCTTCTCTTCAGTCTTCTATCTGACCTCCGTCCTCACCTTCAGTCTTCTATCTGACCTCCGTCCTCCCCTTCAGTCTTCTATCTGACCTCCGTCCTTCCCTTCAGTCTTCTATCTGACCTCCGTCCTTCCCTTCAGTCTTCTATCTGACCTCCGTCCTTCCCTTCAGTCTTCTATCTGACCTCCGTCCTTCCCTTCAGTCTTCTATCTGACCTCCGTCCTTCCCTTCAGTCTTCTATCTGACCTCCGTCCTTCCCTTCAGTCTTCTATCTGACCTCCGTCCTTCCCTTCAGTCTTCTATCTGACCTACGTCCTTCCCTTCAGTATTATATCTGACCTCCATCCTTCCCTTAATCTTCTATCTGACCTCCGTCCTTCCCTTCAGTCTTCTATCTGACCTCCGTCCTTCCCTCCAGTCTTCTATGTGACCTCCGTCCTTCCCTTCAGTCTTCTATCTGACCTCCGTCCTTCCCTCCAGTCTTCTATGTGACCTCCGTCCTTCTATCTGACCTCCGTCCTTCCCTTCAGTCTTCTATCTGACCTCCGTCCTTCCCTCCAGTCTTCTATGTGACCTCCGTCCTTCCCTCCAGTCTTATATATGACCTCCGGTCTTCTCTTCAGTCTTATATCTGACCTCCATCCTCCCCTTCAGTCTTGCACAGTTGTACCGGCTCCTCTTCCTCTGATGTCACTGCGCACTGGGAGCTTCTCACAATGTGGATTAGAATCTGCAGCAAGTCACATAGAGCTCCGCCTCTCTTCTTGGCTGGATGACATCCAGCATCGTCTTTCTTCCCCAGACTAACTGTCCCTAACCCGCCGCTTTCATTAATTGGATTCCAGTTCTTTGGAGGTTCAGCATCACATGTGGGTGTTACCTAGGATGGTCTGCATGCAAAAACAGCCTGCCTAGGAACACCCACTCCTCCAGACTGACACCCACCCATCCATCAAGACATTTTGACACTTGCATAACTCCTCCCAAAAGTCAGATAGAGCCCGCCTCATTTGGAGGATGTCCAGCATCATCTAGTCCTGACTGTGCCTGGCCCGCCCCTTTCATTCATTGGATTCCAGTTCTTTTTATCATGGAGGTTCAGCATCAGATGTGGGTGTTACCTAGGATGGTCTGCATGCAAATACAGCCTGCCTAGGAACGCCCACTGCTCCAGACTGACACCCATCCATTAAGACATTTTGATATTTGCATAACCCTTCCCAAAAGCAAGCCCACTACTAGGTCTAAAATAAGGTATACAATGAAAATGGAAAGCTTTTATCTAAAAATGTTATGTATGATGATGAGGGGGTAGGGACCAGGAAAGGCCAAATATAAGCAGATTACATTTCAGATGTAATGTTTCATCTGACACCATTGGATAATTTAGGCGGAAGATGTTGTCTGATATGCCCCCCGGGGGTTTTGGGGGTTTTGTTCTACACAAATGATACTTTGAATGATGAATAGTCACCATTTTTATTGGGAATGTTTTTGTCAAATCTCAAGAATAAGTCAACGATCAAAACCTATTGATTATATGTAATGAAAACTCTACCACTCTCCCCTTTATTATCGCAGGGCGACTCTGGTGGCCCTCTGGTTTGCAATGTCAATGGAGTCTGGTTTCAGGTTGGGATTATCAGTTGGGGATTTGGCTGTGCCGAGCCAAGTCAGCCCGGAGTCTACACAAGAGTCCAGTATTATGAGTCCTGGCTCAGGAACTACGTGCCGCCTATCCGGCACAATATAGAGAAAACGTCACATCTGGGCAACACAACGACGCCTCCCCTCACCTCTCACTCAGATTCCATGAATACCACATCTACATTATCTACTCCATACGGTAAAGAGGTGGGAAAGGTAACTTTTAATGTAAGCCATTCCAAACTTGAAGCATGGGCATCTGGTGCACCACCGCACATTTATGCCTTGTCCGTGGTCAACATCATCATCCCCCTCGCTTTGATGTTCCTTTCATGATAAATTCTGTCACATGTTTTGGCTCCTCATATATGAAACCTTTCAGAAGGTGGAAGCTTCCTCGAAAACAATGAATATGAAGCTTTCTATCAGGTTGGACCTGGCTACAGTCAATATTTCCACCTCATGTCTGAGGTCTGACTGACATGTTCTCTGCCGGGTATAAAGAGGTCCACAAAGGTTCCGGTTGGATATGAAGATCGATTCCTCCAACGCTAGACAACGTACAAGAAGTTATCATTTCAAATATTTATTTGAATCCCAAAACTACACCAAAATATGGAATATTAGAACCTTGTAAATACATTTAATCTTTTTTTTAAATACATGAAAAGTCTCAGCGTTGTCGTCTTTGGTGTGACATTGTGTGTGTGTGTGTGTGTGTGTGTGTGTGTGTATGAGCGTGTTTTCCATATTACAATGGCACCTGGAAGGGGGGGGGATATTACAATGACACCTGGAAGTGGGGGGATATATTACAATGGCACCTGGAAGTGGGGGGGATATATTACAATGGAACCTG